CATTAATAGGGACCTTAAGCTGCAGGACGGCAACGACGACGACGACGGCAAMCATACAATAGCACTAATTGCGCTATTCAATAGATACGCATTGGAATGTACGAAATACTATGCATCATTACCGTCTTATGCTGAAAGTAAGAYGTGAAATGTCCTATTTTTACGTACTAAAGAGAACGGCTACGCCAAAAGCTTATCTTTGCTGATTTTCGTTATAAGAAAAGCGTTCCCAAAAGACGTCATTTCACTCTAAAGCGAGGATTCTTATTGAGTAAAATACTAGATAAACACGAAATAATAATACAATAGAAAGTTGAAGCGCCTCAATTTCGCCGACATTGTCGCCCACGTTGCCGTCCTGCAGCTTAAGGTCCCTAATATCGCGGTTCAAAAATCATTGGTTTGTGTCCTAGGTGTAACACGCGTTCTTATCAACATGGTGATGCTTTTGAAACGTTTCTTCGAATTAAAAAACAGTTAAATTTTGATCATCTCAAAATTCAATAAACTTTATGGCCTTGGTTTTCTCAATAAATATTCGAATTGTTGCCTCGGATTAATATCTAAATGGTATACAGTTGTTTATATTTTGAAACTCGAAAGTTTAAATCCCATATAATTTTCCTTTTTTCCTTCTCCAAATTCTCCCGTTTTAACTTCTTTCTTTAACTCCTCGTATTCATCTTCTCCATCTCTCTTTCCCTTTCCCATCTTCTCTATTTTCATCTCCTCGATCCTTTTTCCTTATAACCACCTTATTCACAACTTCTCCACCTATCTGATTTGCATGACCACCCTTCTCCTCCTTCTTGGTCTTCGGCTTCTTATCCCCATCAAGGCTTCGTCTCGAACAACAGCTTGTTGTAAATCTGAAAATATACTAAAACTTGAAACGTTAACACCCACCATTTAGATCATAAAGTGCCTAATTACCACATTATTGAGTTGGCTTTTGAATCCCATTAATAAATGGCTGGATTTCTTGTATCATATTAAAGGACTTCAATGTATGAATCCTCGACATTTTTGAGCCCCGCTTAATTTATCATAACATTACATGTGTAAAACAAAGCACCATGGAGGAAATTTAAGAAGAGTTAACGACTGAGTTGGATGCTCGGTCTAGTTATTATGTTTCTATTTATTCATATGCTGGCAGTGATTGCATGATTTTCTTTCAGGATTTGAATCTAGTGTCCTACGATTTGGACTTCCGAGTAAAAATCTTATGTCATAGTTAAATTTAATGTAACCTGTAATGTTGGTCTTTATTTGTGATTGTTCCTTAGTCTTGTTAACCTGGAAAGGGATAAAAAGCTAATACAAAGTAACATGACATGGAAATAAAAATGTTAATAGATAATAGTTTAACTCAAGCAGGCAAGCAGGCAAGCAGGCAAGCAGGCAAGCAGGCAAGCAGGCAAGCAGGCAAGCAG